CTGACACAATCTGATCTCCTGCAGCTATCAGATTATTAAGTGCATGTAAATGTTTATCCCTAGTTTCCAACCTTCTATTTGCCTAGGAACCACAGTTATTAACCTGAGAACCTGGGATACCGGGTCCGCTGGCCTTATACCTCCCGGAGGCAACAGCCCAGCCCCACCAAATTTTAAAGGTCTACAGATCTCACTTGGACAAACCACCTTTGTCCCGTCACAAAAAACCCATTAGAACCAGAGATACGGAAAACATACTCGGCTGCCTAGCTCTGGTGGGGGACCTCTGATCAGCACCAAACGCTGTCCACTTTCATGCTAGTGACAGTGGCAGACTGGCAACACTTCACATTTTGGAAAAGGCTGGAAACAGCAAAGATTCCCACGTCTCTAGAGCCAATAGGATAGTTAAGCGCTACACGTTTATTTAAATCTTACATCATTAACATTACATCGTTGCTGTTTTGCAAGTTTTAGGTGGAAAAATGTAACCTGTAACACAGAGCCTGTGAACAGTGAGTGCGTTTAAATGCACTCAATAATCCGATCATAATTTCTGCGGCTATCTGATTATTCAAACGGTCATGTAAACACCATGCTCTGTTCTAGGAATCTGATTAAGAAATCCAATAAAGAGGCTGGATTTTAGCTTAGTGATCAGATTTCTTAGTGCTGTAAACTCTTACTCTGATTTCTTTCAGATTTCTCAGTCTGTGCAGGCGCAGCAACAGACTGCGGTACCGGAAATAAGTGAGCAACGCCGCCACGAGACGCAGCAAAACACTTTTGGATTGACACTGAAACAAAACACAAAATAAAGGAATTAAATATTCTTCATCTGCAGCATGAGGTTTGAGTTTTATGTTACGCTTACATCACGTCTTCTTCTGTGAGTTTATTGGCTGGTTGTAAAGCAGAAATCCAATTACTGTCTGACTCATGTAGACCTAGAGTTTCCTATTATCTGATCACTCAAGTGCATGTAAACGCTTTGATCGGATTCCTGACAAAATCTGATTTTCTGCAGTTATCGGATTATTAAGTGCATGTGAACACACTCAGTGTCACACAAAACATTTACTGTTCAAGTCTCTGCAACTAAAGTCTATTGTTCCAGACTCTGTAACAGCTTTGTTCAGCAAGCAATCAGGTTTTTAAACTCGCAAGGACTGAACTGAAAAATCACACTTAGATATCTTGCTCAAATTGTTTAGTAAGACCTCTCCAGTGTAATTAATAAACACAAAGATGACACCAAAGTCCTTTATTCCCACCACAGACCGACTTATTAACCCCAGCTCTTCTGCTAGTGCGTCTCATGGTGATTTAGCTTCTGAAATTTGAGAACAGTTCTCAGTGTATGTAAAAAAGCTCAGAGCTCACTTTTAATAAACATCTGAAAACGCAGCTCTTTAACTCAGCGCTTCAGTAAAATTTGAGAAGATTTCGCAATTCATTTTCAAAATAAAGATAAATAGACCTGATACGACCGGTTGTAGCTCGGCTGACTGAAATAAGCTCCTATAATGTTCCTGATAAGCCTCCTACATCAATAATGACACAGTTCTGTCATCAGTTATCAGGAGTTACAACTGTTGTAAACAAATTAAGTTCATCCACATGTGATCTTGACCCTGTTCCTACTTCATTCCTTGGGATGGTTTTTGATTGTGTTCACAATGATGTTTTAAGTATTGTAAATTGTTCTCTGTCAACAGGTGTTTTTCAGACACTTTTAAAACTGCCTCTGCTGAAAAAGAGTAGCATGGATCCTTCTGTACCAAATAATTTTAGACCAAATTTAAACTTACCTTTTCTAAGTCTTAGAAAAAATTGTTTTCAAACAACTAAATGCGTATCTAATATCAAACAATTTATATGAGAAGTTTCAGTCAGGTTTTCATTCTAACCACAGTAGAGACAGCATTGATTCACGTTATGAACAACCTGAAAAACCTTCTATTCTGGTTTTATTAGATATTAGTGTAGCCTTTGATACCATTGACCACAAGATTTGAATGCTGGGTCGGCCTCTCAGGCTTAGGTTTAGAATGGTTTAAATCATATTTAGGTAATAGACATTTTGTGGTTTCACTGGGAAAACATTCATCAGTGTGGTGTCCCACAGGGTTCAGTTTTAGGGCCTTTGCTTTTCTCTTTGTACATGCTACCTCTAGGTGATGTCATTAGGAAACATATACATTTTCAAAGCTATGCTGACAACACACTATTATACATTTCTATTCTGATAATCAAGACTCTGTTGACAGACTGACCAGCTGTGTGTCAGATATTTCTCACAAAATTTTCTACAAGTAAATTACAAAGAAGTGAAATACTGATCGTTGGCACTAAAACTCAGAGGAAGCTGGTTTATGAGAATCTCAGCTCTTTATCTTTATATACCAAACCTGAAGTACGAAACCTGGGTGTGATCTGAGACTCTGAGCTCTGTTTAATCTGCATGTAAACAGGCACTAAAGTAGCTTTTTATCATGTGAGAAAATCACTTCAGCCTTTTCTCTCTCAGAGCAACACAGAGAAACTCGTAGCTGCGCTTGTTCAGTAGAGTTGATCACTGTAATGATCTTCTTACTGGAGAGGACGGTCCGTCCTCTAGAACCCGTACAGAACGCAGAAGCACAGATCCTCACAGCACCAACACAGAGAGCTCATATCCCCCGTTACACACTGCACTGACCGCCTGGATCTGTTAGAGAGAGTTTAAAGCTCTGCTGCTGGTTTTTAAAGCTCTAACTGACCTTAAAGCTCCTGAATGTCTGTTTATGATCTCAGATCTGCAGATTCTGACCTTCTGAACTCCTTCAGTAAAACACAGAAAACGTGAGAGACTCTTTCAGTTATTCTGCTTCTAAACTGTGGAGCTCAGTTCAGCTTTTATTAGACAGTCGAGCTCAGAGCTCACTTTTAATAAACACCTGAAAACACAGCTCTTTAACTCAGAGCTTCAGTAAAACTCTACGACTCTTTGGGGTTTATCTGTTTAATCTGATCTGTTATTGTTGTCTTACATGCTTTTAAATTAATACTCATAGTTTATTCTGTTACCGTTAAGCTTTATCTTCTTTCTGTAAAGCACTTTGAGCTGCCACCAGTATGAAAAGTGCTATATAAATAAAAACTATAATAATAAAAGTAAAAATAAATAAATAAAAAACAATAATTAGCTTTCTTTTTATGTATAAATTTACAAGTATTTGTATTGGGCAGGTGTTTTGTAAAAATACCATAGCGTTTGTACAGTTCTTGCCCCCTGTGAACTTGATAATTGTCCTAAATCTAATAATTAACAAAGAATTCCTTTGTTATCTGTCAGCATGTTGTGTAAAAGCTGTAAATCTTTTATAATGTTGGATGGGCTCCTCCTCGTCTTCATCCCTGTGTTTCCAATTATGTATGATTATAAAAGCACTAAATCAGAGCACTGCTCCAAGCAAAAGCAATTTGTCCAATCATATCACGGTTCACAAACACTATGAAAGCATTATAAAACAGGCCCTGATAACCGAGGCTGATTAGAAGTGGCTTAGCGTGAGAGGAACTGATTAAACTGGAGACGAGGCATAAAATAAGGCTGTTACACTTTCTCTGATAAACATGTTTACAGACAGAAAACAACAGTACTGTGAATTAGATACAAAATCCTAAATATGACATTTTTCTTGCTTTTTTAAGCCCCACTTAAACCATTTGTGTGGGTTTATGTGTCAAAAACAGTCATAATTCGTTTTTGCACAAGTTTCTAATCTCACTTAGAATTAAACACTGTTGTTATAAGGAGTTTTTGGGCTGAAACACTCCTTATAACTTCAGTGTAAATGGGTGGGACATATCTATATCTATACATATACACACCGATCAGGCATAACATTACCACTGTAAAACTCCACTGTGTCCACTCACTGTCCACTCTATTAGACACTCCTACCTTGTTGGTCCACCTTGTAGATGTGAAGTCAGAGACGATAGCTCATCTGCTGCTGCACAGTTTGTGTTGGTCATCCTCTAGTCCTTCATCAGTGGTCACAGGACGCTGCCCACAGGACGCTGTTGGCTGGATATTTTTGGTTGGTGGACGATTCTCAGTCCAGCAGTGACACTGAGGTGTTTAAAAACTCCAGCAGCACTGCTGTGTCTGATCCACTCAGACCAGCACAACACACACTAACACACCACCACCACGTCAGTGTTACTGCAGTGCTGAGAATGATCCACCACCCAAATAGTACCTGCTCTGTGAGGGTCCATGGGGGTCCTGACCACTGAAGAACAGGGTAAAAGGGGGCTAACAAAGTATCAGAGAAACAGATGGACTACAGTCTGTAACTGTAGAACTACAAAGTGCACCTATATAGTAAGTGGAGCTGATAAAATTATTTATTTATTTTTTTGCTCATTCCTCCTGACAGAACTGCTGTAACTGAGTCAAGTTTGCAGGCCTCTTTGCTCACACATGCTCTTTCAGTTCTGCCCATAATTCTTCTATGAAATTGAGGTCAGGGCTTGGCCACTCCATTACCTTCACTTTGTTATCCTTAAGCCATTTTGCCACAACTCTGTAAGTATTCTTGGGGTCGTTGTCCATTTGGAGGACCCATTTGTGCCCAAGCTTCAGCTTCCTGGCTGATGTCTTGAGATGGTTTCAAAAATTTTCCTTCCTCATAATCCTCATAATCTGTTTTGTGTCCCTAAATATGAGCTGTAATGACTTCAGCCTAAGTGTTTGTAAACTTATGATTTTAACTGTATGTATTATCCTTTTTTTTAAAAACAATCAATTTTATGATTGTGGTTTTATGTTTTGTTCTACACTATTTTTGTCTAATTTGCATGTAAATAAAAGATTTTGGGCTCAAAGTTTATAAGGAAAATAATAATAATAATAATAATATTATCATTAGGAAAAACACTGAACTGCAGCAGGTCTGAAGAGAAAGAGATGCTACAAAAGCATAAAAAACAAAGACGTTCACGTTGTAAACAATTATCTGTTTAATATGTTACAGTAAACCGACACAGAAAACAATTTTTTGTATTTAAAAAAAAACCTACATGTCCCCAAACGTTTGACTGTCACTGTCCTCCTGAGTAAAAACGAAGCCCGAGTCCAGAGCCGGTCAGTTCAGGTGTGGATGTTGAAGGAGCTCCTGAAGTCTCTCTCCCAGTTCTTCTCTCTCTCCTCCCTCCTCTTCATCTCTTTCACAGTGAGTCTCGCCCGTCTCTCTCTCCTCTCCGCTCCCTCTTTACGCTCCGTCCGGCGCACGGCCTGCGGGTCCTTGGCGTCGAAGTGGGTGACCTTTGACTTCTGCGGGGGTCCGTACCCGAGGCCGCGCTGGTCCCTCTTCAGCACGGTGCCGACGGGGTTCTTCCGGCCGGAGTGCGAGGGTCCCAGGCCGCGGTGGGGGTCCCAGCCCGAGCGCAGCATCATCCTGTAGCTGACGCTGGACTCAGAGAGGCAGTAGTGGGGGGCCGTGGGGGGCCGCTTCAGGCTGAACTGGTGCAGAGTGGACGTGGCGTGAGCCTGAGCGCCATCAGTGTAATTCACCTGGCACACCTCACACCAACGAGGACTGCAGGAGAAAAACAAACAAACAAACAAACAAATTACACACCGGGATAATTTATTGGTTGAGAAGCGTTCAAGCCATGAATTCACAGTGTAACATAATAATCTGTGGTCAAGTGCTTCAGTCTTATTACAGTGCTAGCATTTTTACAGAATTAGTCGCACTGTAAACCTGAAATCATTTAAAAGTCAGAGGCGTCGAGTTTTTCACACCACGTCGTACGTCTTTACGTATTAATGTCACACACAGACTCTAAAAGAAGGTCCGGCTCGATGTTTCGGCCTCAAATGATCTGAAAATCAACATCATACTGATGAAGATGTGATGACAATAGTAGATAATTCACTCACATCCTCAGAAGACGCTCCTTCACCAAGTTTAGACTGAGTTCTATTTGAGTTCTCTTTTAGCAGTCAGATTTATCTGGGGGTCTGGAGCACAACCCACATCGCAAAATGTCCCTCCACACATTGCGTGTAATTACATATTTCCACCAGAGAGGGCTCCCAATCCCCAAAACGTACACAGTGCTGATTTAAGAACAGCCTTTATTATTACTTTACACTGCTTAGAAATGGTCTCTCGTCAAGTGAAATGATCTTAAATCTAGTCGATCGATCTAATATTTTCAATTTTGAGATGGTTGTGCACTTATTATGAGATTTTCTAGCTTATTTCCAGACATTATTTACTTGTTGTAGATCATTTTATTTAGTAAAATTCTCTCACTATACTGGCAGATTGTTTTGCTGCCTTCAAGCTCATTTTTACAAGCACAGTTACCTGTGAGATAATTATATTTAATAAAATCACTTTAAAAAGGTCTAGAAATAACGTAAATAATCTTGAATTAAGCTTACAATCTCAACAGGAGAAATATTAGATTTATTGACTATATTTAAGATAATAAAAGATACTATTTCTTGGAGTGAAACTGAATTTTATTTTTGATTTATTTTATTTTGCCTTATGAAAGGCATTTTTTTCTTTTATCACATTCAGGCTAATTTTAAGTTAGTCAGTGATTTAGAACCAAACTCGTTTTCAGCCCTAACCTGGGTGTGATGTCATCAGGAGTGTGAAAGTTGTCTGTGATGCCGAATTGCTCCAGTTCTGTTACGACGTCCTGATGACCCGCCTGGAGAGCGAGCGATCGAGCATCTCTACCCTGAGAGAGAGAGAGAGAGAGAGAGAGAGAGAGAGAGAGAGAACAAAGATATGTTCCAGGCCTTCTTTCATGTGTTAAATCCCAGGGAACCTAAATCTGTGTTTTAGTAGTTAATCTAGCTCTTATGGCCACATCAATATACACACACCAAATATTTGCTATAATTACTTTTCACTGCCCACTAAATGGACGATATACTTGGCAAAAAATTCTCCCCTTTTCCATGTAAACTGGGAGGTCCTACTTGAGCAGTCCCCTCACCAATCACAACGCTGATGTGGACTGTCCTGCACACACAGATGTTTCAAAATTTCTGCATAACTGAGTGTGTGAGATGTAATCAGAGTGATTCAGAGTGGTTTGGCGTGAAATGGTTCAGATGTCTTTACACTGGTGGTGATAGGAACCAGGGGTCGCCATGACTACAACACAAATATAGACATTTTATTTACTATCCAGAACCACCAGTGAACCTACACGAGTCTTCTGAGTTTATATGGAATGTTGATGATGGAAAATAGTGGAAAATCTGAAATAATAAGTTTTCTTTGGGGACTATTTTGCCTCACAGCGCCCTGCATGTATCCCTCCACCATGAATGGAGTTTAAGTTCTCTAAACTATCATAAAACAGTGTCTCAGTCATCAGGCAGTGAATTCATAACCATTTCATGTAGGAACTTTCTGTGAGGGAGCTTTTAGAGGTGGACGTCTGGTTCCTATCACCACCACTGTGAACAGTTCTGACTCGGTAAGTTTATCTAGAACGGAGCGTTTCACACCAAACCACTCTGAACAAGTGTGATTACATCTCAACCACTTAATTATGCAGAAAATTTTTTAAAATCAGTGAATTTCCCCTTTAACAAAACTGAGTTCTGTCTCTCTTTGTTCAAGCCCAAAAAACATACAGAGAGAAGGCTAACCACCAAGCGAAAGCTCAGTTATCTAGCACCTATCTAGCTCACCTGTCTGCTTGTCGTTCGTTTCAACTGCATGGAACAAGTTTTATGAAACAGCCAATCAAAAACGGTGATAACACATCATGTTCTTCATGAAACAACAACAAATACAATATAATATCAGAATATTTCACTGAACACAGACAGTTATGAAGAACCATGGCTCTGTGCCAACACCGTTTCATGGCTCCCACCTGCTTCTGCTGTGACCCACCTGTGTGTCTACGACTCCCACCCAGGCGGCCCCTCTGCTCAGCAGCAGATGGACAGCCTCCCTCTGCCCGGCGTGACTCGCACACATCAGCGGCGTCCAGTAAAACCCGTCGCGGAAGTTTATATCACAGCCGCGGTCCAGCAGCTCTGTCAGCGCCCGCAGGTCTCCGTCCTGAGCGCAGCGCAGCAGCCGGTGACCGTCTCGCTCCGACACGGCATCAGCTCGACCACCGGGGGGCGCCGCACTCCCTCCTGATGACCTTCTGTACGGACCTCCTCCTCGGGCTTTAGAACAGAGGAGAAGGTTCGTTTTAAAGGGCCAAATTCTGTATTTCTCTTCGGTTGTAGTTTTATGTGCCCAAAAAATAATTGAATTTTACAAGATCATTTTCCAAACTCACTTTATCCTGTAGAATTACACAGGCTACTTCTGTTACTGTGCCACCAGTGGAATATTCTGAAACAAACTGCTTTATCTTAACTAGAATTTACTATAATCCAGAGATTACTCTAAACCAGATCAGAGATATCAGAGATTACTCTAAACCAGATCAGAGATATCAGAGATTACACTAAACCAGAGATTACTGTATATCAGAGATTACCGTATGAGATTACACTAAACCAGAGATTACTGTATATCAGAGATTACTCCAAACCAGATTCCTCCAAACCAGAGATTACTGTATATCAGAGATTACACTAAACAGATTACTGTATATCAGAGATTACTCCAAACCAGATTCCTCCAAACCAGAGATTACTGTATATCAGAGATTACTCCAAACCAGATTCCTCCAAACCAGAGATTACTGTATATCAGAGATTACTCCAAACCAGATTCCGCCAAACCAGAGATTACTGTATATCAGAGATTACTCCAAACCAGATTCCCCAAACCAGAGATTACTGTATATCAGAGATTACTGTGCATTACAGATTATGCTAAACCAGAGTTTACTCCAAACCAGAGATTATCATGTATCAGAGATTACTCTAAACCATAGATTACTCCAAACTAGATATTACTGTATATCAGAAATTACACTAAACCATAGATTACTCCAAACCAGAGATTACCTTGTATCAGATTATGCTAAACCAGCGATTACCATGTATCAGAGATTACTCTAAACCAGATAATACTGTGTATCAGATATTACGGTATATCAGAAATTACGCTAAACCAGAGATTACTGTATATCAGAGATTATGCTAAACCAAGATTACACTAAAATATTAAAATACATCTGAGATTAAAATATATCTCTGGTTTAGTGTAATCTCTGATATACAGTCATCTCTGGTTTGGAGTAATCTCTGATATATTTTAATCTCCCAGAGATTACCGTGTATCAGAGATTATGCTAAACCAGAGATTACTCCAAACCAGAGATTACCATGTATCAGAGATTACTCTAAACCAGAGATTACCGTACATCAGAGATTATGCTAAACCAGAACTTTACTCTAAACCAGAGATTACTGTGTATTAAAGATTATGCTAAACCAGTCCAAACCAGAGATTACTGTGTATTAGAGATTACGCTAAACCAGAGTTTACTCCAAACCAGAGATTACCGTGTATTAGAGATTACGCTAAACCAGAGTTTACTCCAAACCAGAGATTACCATGTATCAGAGATTATTCTAAACCAGAGATCACTGTGTATCAGAGATTACGCTAAACTAGAGATTACCATGTATCAGAGATTACTCCAAACCAGATATTACTGTGTATCAGAGATTACGCTAAACTAGAGATTACCATGTATCAGATTACTCCAAACCAAAGATTACCATGTATCAGAGATTATTCTAAACCAGAGATCACTGTGCATCAGAGATTACGCTAAATGAGACATTACATTATATTAGAGATTACTTTAAACCAGATTTTTTTTCTAGATATTAGTATACACTAGATATTATTCTAAACCTCAGATTACTCTGATTACTCTAAACAAAAATCTGAATTTACTCTAAAGTGTGTGGCAATGCTGCCCCCACCAGGACAGTCCAGAGTTCTGCAGGGTGAATAATATGTCTATGGCAGGAACGTCTGATTTTGTTATGTAAATTTCTGTGTTAAGAGTGAAGTGCACTGTGCAGAACTGTGTGGAACTGTTTTCCTTCTTCTTCTCTGTATGTTGTAAATGTGTTGATGTGTTCACACCAGCTGTCCTTTAGACTGCAGCAACCAATAAAGATGCTCCAAAGTGACGCAGAGTAAGTTCTCGTTCCATTACGGTTCATTAAAAGGTAAGAACGTGTTCTCTTCGTTCAGCAGTGCTGCCATTTCTGGAGATATTTCGTTCCAGCAGTGAGGACATTTCAGAAAGTAACTGAAAGGCCACATTGGTGGTTTAGTTAAAGTTTAAGGTCACTCACTCCGTCCTCTTCTCCGTCGTCTCTCCCTCCTGTCCTCTTTCTTCTCCTTCTGTCCATTCGCACGCTCTTCTCCAAGCAGACTCTGGTAGAAGTCTCTGGCCTCTTCTCCGGTCAGCGCAGCTCCACCTCTCTGCTCCTTCGCCTTTTCTCCCTCCGTCCAGCGCCGGTCCTCCTCTTTCGCTCGGGTGAAGAAGCCCAAGACGCTCATGACTGGATCAGAACTGGAGCATCTCCTAATCTGTTTTCATCACTGTTACTCCACTCGGGCTTTTCAGCTGTACAGACAAAAACTGACAGGGAGAGAGCGGAGGTCAAACAGAGGACACACCCACCACACAGCATCAGATCAGGGATACACCGATACGGGAGGCCTGGGTCAAAGCTGACATCTGACATTTTACAGAACCATCACTGTTCAGAGTTTCTAAAGTTTATAATGTGTTTCATTCAGTGAAGAAAACAGAAAGACCAGTGCAGTTAAATAACACCACACACTGGGTGAGACACTCCACACTCCATCCTTCAGTATCCACTATGAATTATTCAGTATTCACAACAAACTATTTGGTATCTACTATGAATTATTCAGTACCTACAATGAATTATTCAGTATCCACTATGAATTATTCAGTATCCACTATGAATTATTCAGTATCCACTATGAATTAATCAGTATCTACTATGAATTATTCAGTAACTACTATGAATTATTCTGTATCTACTATGAATTATTCAGTATCTACTATGAATTATTCAGTATTCACAACAAACTATTTGGTATCTACTATGAATTATTCAGTACCTACAATGAATTATTCAGTATCCACTATGATTTATTCAGTATCCACTATGAGTTATTCAGTATCCACTATGAGTTATTCAGTATCCGCTATAAACTATTTGGTATCTACTATTAATTATTCATTATTCACTGTAAATTATTCAGTATTTACTATAGGTTATTTGGTATTTACTATGAATTTACCTTAAATTAGAGATCACACTAAACCAGACATTCTCAGTAATCTTTACTTTAGTGTAATCTCTAGTTTAAAGTAAATACTATTTTAATCTCTGATTTAAAGTGAATTCTGGTTTAGTGTAATCTGTACTTTGGTGCAATCTCTGAGTTAATCTCTGGTTTCAGGTAAATTCTATTTTAATCTCTGATTTAAAGTAAGTTCCGGTCTAGTGTCATCTCTACTTTAATCTCTAGTTTAGTGTAACCTCTGAGTTAACCTCTGGTTTAAAGTAAACTCTAGTTTTCTGTAATCTCTAGTTTAGTCTAATCTCTGATTTACAGTTATTACTGAGTAATAATCTCTAGTTTAGTCTAATCTCTGATTTACAGTTATTACTGAGTAATAATCTCTAGTTTAGTCTAATCTCTGATTTACAGTTATTTCTGAGGTAGAGTAATCTCTGGTTTAGAGTAAATTTTAATTTAATCTCTGATTTAAAGTAAATTCTGATTTAGTGTAATCTCTGATTTAAAGTAAATTCTGATTTAGTGTAATCTCTGATTTGGAGTAATTTCTGAGTTAAATCTCTTATTTAAAGTAATCTGACAGTACAAATCTTAACTAATAACACATTTTCTGCAGTGTAATCCAGGAAGATGAAGCCCCAGTTTTCACACCTGATAAATGTTTATGTATCATCACCAGATATGAGATATTACAAATATCATATACCCACAGTCTTAAAAATGGTTCTTCACGAGCTCTTCAGTAAAGGGAACTGTATTAGAACTATGAGTTCTACATAGAACCACTTCACGCTTGCATGGTGAAATGGTTCTCCAGATTGATGGAGAACGTGTTGTACGTGGTTATACAAGCTTATCATCGTAATAATAGAAGAACCCTTTATAGAAGGGTTCTATTGTCAACCTATATAGAACCTATACAACATAAACAACTAATTCTACACAAGTTCTACACAGATTCTCCACAGTTCTACACAGTCTGAAGAACCATTTCACCATGCAAAGAACCATTTAAGAACGCAAACGGCTCTTTGAGTGTTAGAACTGAGTTCTACACAGAACCACTTCACGCTTGCATGGTGAAATGGTTCTCCAGATTGATGGAGAACGTGTTGTACGTGGTTATACAAGCTTATCATCGTAATAATAGAAGGACTCTTTATAGAAGGGTTCTATTGTCAACCTATATAGACCCTATACAACATAAACAATTCTACACAGATTCTACACAGTTCTACACAGTCTGAAGAACCATTTCACCACACAAAGAACCATTTAAGAACGCAAACGGCTCTTTGAGTGTTAGAACTGAGTTCTACACAGAACCACTTCACGCTTGCATGGTGAAATGGTTCTCCAGATTGATGGAGAACGTGTTGTACGTGGTTATACAAGCTTATCATCGTAATAATAGAAGGACTCTTTATAGAAGGGTTCTATTGTCAACCTATATAGACCCTATACAACATAAACAATTCTACACAGATTCTACACAGTTCTACACAGTCTGAAGAACCATTTCACCACACAAAGAACCATTTAAGAACGCAAACGGCTCTTTGAGTGTTAGAACTGAGTTCTACACAGAACCACTTCACGCTTGCATGGTGAAATGGTTCTCCAGATTGATGGAGAACGTGTTGTACGTGGTTATACAAGCTTATCATCGTAATAGTAGAAGAACCCTTTATAGAAGGGTTCTATTGTCAACCTATATAGACCCTATACAACATAAACAATTCTACACAGATCTACACAGTCTGAAGAACCATTTCACCATGCAAAGAACCATTTAAGAACGCAAACGACTCTTTGAGTGTTCATGGTTCTACACAGAATATCTGTTTCCTAGAGAACCCTTTAAGAACCGTCTTTTTAAGAGCACACAGCTCCCATATGAGTGCAGCCCTACAGCACATTTCTAAAATAATCACCCAAACTGGAGATTAAAGAGGAACAGGGCTTTTTCTGGCAGAAGGGATGAAACGGTGTGAAGATTAAACCTATAAAAATCCAGAAAGTGACTAATTTCTCTAAATTTGATCTGAAACCTTCAGAATCAGTCAGCAGTTTGTTTTCTTCAGCTCTCAGCGCAGATAAACACATTACCGGCCCAATTCAACGGGGTTTTCACTCTCTAACCGCTACTTTAGAGTCTCCTTAACGCGCTGGAGTGATTTACAGTAACAGAGGGTAAATTAGGAGTTAAATACTCACCTGGTTTAAATGTTTACCTGCTGGAAGATTGTTTAGGATCCATCGCAGTCGGTCTTCTTCACTGCGTGGTAAAGTCGTACAGACGGGCTCACTGCTCCGCCTACAGGCTGGAAACGGAATAAAAAGGCAAAAAATATATAAACGCGAAATATATGTAAAGAAAAAGAAAAGAAAAGAAAAAATAAGAAAAAAGAAATATATCATTTGAATGGTTAAAGGGAAACGCCACTAATTTTCCAAAAATGTTTATATTAATAGATGGTTAAGATGTAAACAGGGTCGTTCAGAGTGGTTTGGTGTGAAACGCTCTGTTCTAGAGAAACTTACCGGGTCAGAACTGTTCACAGTGGTGGTGATAGGAACCAGACGTCCACCTCTAAAAGCTCCCTCACAGAAAGTTCCTACATGAAATGGTTATGAATTCACTGCCTGATGACTGAGACACTGTTTTATGATAGTTTAGAGAACTTAAACTCCATTCATGGTGGAGGGATACATGCAGGGCGCTGTGAGGCAAAATATTGGTTTATTGGTTTACATTAGCATCATTTAACTGATAAGATGGACAAGTTATGCTTTAAGAGGGTGAAAAAGACCAAAGTAGTGTCTAATTGACCAATAGCAAAGGCTATTCACCAGCTTCTTGTCCGAATTTTCTTGTTCCACCTTAAACGAGGCAGCAGTTTAACTACATGCTTCAGTTTACACTCCCTAAAAATCGTATGGAATTGGTTTATTTTTGATAAACATCAAATATCACCTTGATGAAACAAAGTGCTTTAATCTCAGTTTTAATGTTCAAACATTGTAGAGCTCAGAAACAGCAGAGAACGAGTGCAGAACAGCGCCCCCTGTCGTATTCCATCCTCAATGCTCCTCAGTGCTCCTCACTCCAGCCCAGTAGGTGGCGGCAGTGCACCAAACATCTGGGTCGCCCAGCTCCATTAACAGAAGGAGAGGAGCTGCAGAGGCGCTGATCGGTCAGTAGATCCTCACCTGGAGAGTCCAGCACTGAGAGACCTACAGAGGACAGACCAGAAGATGAGCAGCGTTAAGGAGGAGTGTGAGGATATCAGTGTGATGGAAGCGACTGGACTGAAGACTGAAGACCAGCAGATGGACAAAGGTCAGTGTGGACTGTGTGAGGATGATGAGATAGATGAGCAGATGGATGATAAACAGAAGATCCATCAGGATATACTGGAGAGTCATTGTTCCACATTAATATGATTCTCTCAGATACAGAAACACTCAGTTCAGATGTGTGTTAATATAATCAAATGCATAAAAAGTGGACTTTAAGTGTTTAAAGGTCACCAAACACTTTCACTTTTGACAAGTACTAATTTTTGTAGGTATGCAAAGCAATATGTGGCCTATATATTACAGATGCTTTCTAAAAAGATATTAATTAAGGTATAAATAATGCCATGAATAACTTCTTCTAATTGTTACTATTTCATGCCATTATTACTATTACTGCTCTCATAACCCCATAAGTATTCCAAGTGTCTTGCTTACCAGAACCAAATGCAGCCTTATTAGTCTCCAAAATAATCCCATAGTTCTACACCATCCAGACCTAAAGCAGCTTTATTAATCTCCAAAATAATCCCATAGTTGTACACCAACCAGACCTAAAACAGTTTATTAATCTCCAAAATAATCCCATAGTTCTTCACTGACAAGACTTAAATGTGGCTTTATTAATCTCCAAAATAATCCCATAGTTCTACACCAACCAGACCTAAACGCAGTTTTATTAATCTCCAAAATAATCCCATAGTTCTACACCAAAACACAGCTTTATTAATCTCTAGAATAATCCCAATTCTACATCAACCAAACCTAAACGCTGCCCTATTAATCTCCAAAATAGTCCCATAGTTCTACACCGACCAGACCTAAACTCAGCTTTATCAATATCCAGAATAATCCCACAGATATACACCAACCAAGTTTGATCTGTTATTAATATATGAATGCATGAATGCAGTGACTTTATGAATACAGTGACTTGCTTTCCCATGTTTTCCATTACAGAGGACTTTTTACAAGAAGACATCAAAGAGGAGCACGAACTGGAAGTGAAGCCGCTTCAAGAAGATTCCAGCTCACAGGAATGTCTTGAAAACTCTGAGCCTGGAATCAGCTTCAGTGACTCGTCCCACCCGAGAATTCATACCGGAGAGGAACTGTTCACATGTTCACAGTGTGGGGAGAGTTTCAGCTACGAGAGATCTCTGAAACGCCACCTGGACGTCCATGAAGGAAAGAGACCTCATCAGTGCTCTCAGTGCGAGTGGAGCTTCAAGAGCGTATCACATTTAAGAGAACATAAGAAGACTCACATGGTGGAAAAGCCGTTCGCCTGCTCCCAGTGTGGATGCAGCTTCAAGCGTTTACCAGATTTACGACGTCACGAAAGGACTCATCTTGGAGATACAGGAGAGAAACCGTTCTCCTGCTCTCAGTGTGGAAAGAGTTACCCGGTTTCAAGCCAACTGAAAGCCCACATGATGATCCACACAGGTCCAAAGCCATATTCATGCTCTGAGTGCGGAAAGGGGTTTTTAATCCCAAGCAAACTCAAAGCCCACACAATGACTCATACCGGAGAAAAGCCATTCACCTGCTCAGAGTGCGGAAAAGGTTTTTCGAGATCGGCCAACCTTAAAATCCACATGCTGATTCATAGCGGAGAAAAGCCATTTGGCTGTTCTGAGTGCGGAAAAAGCTTCTCATCGTTCAGCAACCTTAAAACCCACATGATAACTCACACTGGAGAGAAGCGCTTCACCTGCTCTCTGTGTGGAAAGAAGTTTTCCAGATTATCCAACTACACCGTCCACATGAGGATTCATACAGGAGAAAAACCTTTCTACTGCCACCTGTGTGGAAAAAGCTTTCGGCAGATAGATCATCTAAAGAAACACCAGGAGAGCGTCCATGAAAGAGTTTAAGCTTGTAAATCAAAATATTAAACTTACTTAAAAAGAGAACTGGAAAATTGACAGAGAATTGAGAATTAACAGTAATGGTAACATAACTGGACATAATCAATGGGCTTCGTTTGCTCATATCTTCCTAAGTCTGTTCTTAAATGTGTTCTTGAGAAAGGTCCTAGGAAAAAGTCAGCACAGAACTGTTCTCACCTTTGTGCTCTTGATTGTGTGTAGATTCTGTTCTTACCTAAGAGCAAATGTCAAATAAGAAAACACTGGTGAATGTCAGAATCTTTGTGGGTTTTAAGAAGAAATTTCTTCTTAAGAACGGTTGGTGAATGAGGCTCACTGTTTTCTCCACACCTTCATACTACCTCCACCATGTATAAACGTTGGTGTGATGTTCCTGTTGTAAAATACAGAACTTCCAGTACCTGACCCAGTCTAGGGTCCTGGTTTTAAGCAGGGAGATAGAGCAGCCCATTGTAGGGCCCAGTCTAGACTGGGTCAGGCCATAACAGACAAATGGGAGTGGGCTCTCCCCAGACCTGCTGCCAGACCAGACCACGAAATGTAGTTATGTTATAGGTGAAGTTTGGGGGAAGGAACATGCTTGATACCCCTCCTTCTTCCAGTCTAACAGCCTATACATTCACATCCTTACCCTCCGTTCCTGTGACGAAGTGTTCGCAATCCCCACCACCACCCCATCTCCTCCCTGTTCCTCAGTCCTACATCAGTCCGACTACAGCTGTAAGGGGAGGTCTGGGTTTCTAGCTACAGGCAGAAGCTGCCCAGAGCTCCAACCCAGGTTCTCAGAGTTCTCCCCCCTCCCTCAATCAGTCTTCCCTCAAACTACCACCACCATGTTGAAGGCATGGTCTGAACTCACAAAATGTAGTTATGTTATAACTGAAGTTTGGGGGGGAGGAGCATGGCTGAAACCCCTCCTTCTTCCAACCTAACACCCTATCAGTTCACATCCTCACCATTCCCTTGATGAAGGATTCACAACCCCCCCCATCTCCTCCCTGTTCCTCAGTCCTACACCAGTCCTACTACAGCTATGAAGGGGGGATCCTGTGTTCTAGCTACAGGCAGAAGCTGCCCAAACCTCCAGCCCAAGTTCTCAGAGTTCTCCCCCCTCTGTCAATCGGTCTTCCCTTATACTACCACCACCATGTTGAAGGCATGGTCTGAACCTCACAAACACCATTTAGACCAGGTTAATTTTCTTCAAAAGCTCAATAGCAAGGCATGATGGCTTGAGCATATGCCAAAATAATAAACAGAACAATTAAGGGCTTTACATAAAACTAACAAAATCAAACAAAAATACAAAGGGCTGCTCTATCTCCCTGCTTAAAACCAGGAGAAAAGCTAACCAAAACCAAAGGCACTTGTCCCCTACTTACCAAATGGTCACAGAGTCCAGGAAAGCTTTCACAAATTTAACAATCGAAGCAAAGCGAGACAGAGTGCAGTGAAGTAAAGATTGCCCAGTTGGCCTGGACAGTAGGCCTAGGAGATATCTAGAAATAATTAGCAAGATATGTTACTGTAAACATGTTTATGAGCTTCTTCTGCTGCAGATTCACACTGACTTGCATGCTAACAGCGCTCCCTGCTGGAGACACTTCAGACAAAGGATTTTCAAAGCTGTGCCAGTGCGTTTTCTATGTTATAAACAAGGCGTTTTCCATTGTTACAGAAACGTTTTCATAATTCTGCACGCCAACTGCAGACGAAGATCAGAGGAACTTTCTCTCTAGGTTAGAGCTAATTTAGCTACTCTGTGGTAATGGTAACTTTCAGTCATTTTAGCTTTTTTTTACTGCAGAGTCACTTTGAGGTGAGTTGAAGCTCCAAAGCATGTCGACATTCATTTTAATTTCCATTCACATAAGGCAAATTAAGGGGAATCTGTGCAGTAAAGGCAGCATTACAGTGTGCAGCAGAAAGAGATAACAGGCAGTTCCTTGACATTACATTACCCAGTCGACCAGGCCTGCTGGACACGTGTACTTCCAGGTCACGTCAGAGGGGAGGGAGCCCTGAACGTCTCCCAAGATGGTGGCTTGGCGACCTCATATACAGGAAGGCACCCTCGTGTGGCCAATCACAGACCTGCACATAATAGAACAGATAGAACACACAAAATGGCCACAAACAGATAGAAAGAAAGGCTATACAACCTGTATACTTCCACTCACTGGCCACTTTATTAGAATCACCTACCACACGGCGGGTATTTCTAATAAAGTGGCCAGTGAGTGGAAGTACAAGACGGGTGTTCCTAATAACTGGAATTCAATTCATGGATTAAATTAAATTTGGTTCATTGTTACTCAGATTTATGTACTTAGCTACAGATTACTTGAGTAGCTAAAGGGATGGTTACTCTTTCACATGGGCGATTCGCATGCTAGATAACTTTGCTGTCCTTAAATAGTCATTAAAAATTGTGTTGGTGAAATTTCCCACCGAAATGGTTGCAGCCATCAGAATGCGATGAATTGCACTGTTTTCACGTCACTTGAGCTCTTTAAAGTAAAACAATTCAATTTAAAACGGAAATGCTGAATGTATGTCATAATTGAATACAAGCCACTTTTAAATGTAAAGTCATGGCAATTACTTTCCACTGTCCAGCACTATAAACAACACTGAATCAGTTTAATTTTAGTATGTTTTCTGCATGTTACTGTTTAAACACAATCTCTGATTTCACTGCATTTCACTGTTCTGGCTGCATTGAGGCATATACATTTCAAGTGAAATCAATGAAGTAGAGCTTTTCCACATGTCAGCTGTGGAAAAGTGATGTGTGCATTGCATTCCACTGTTTATTTCAGTGAGAAAATTTGTTTAAATAACTGCACGGTGTAAAGCAGTATAGTTTTACACCATGCAGTATAACACCTCTCCCTTCAGTGCTCCTTTAGAAGCTCCGCCCCCAAATTCATGGACATACATGGCCAAGGCAAACGACACTGGAACAAAACTATACTGACCTGTTGTTTCTGTGAAACAGCAAAATAAGTTAATGTTTCCCATCTGTCCAGCAGAAACAGAGCAGCCTCCTCATCCCTTTTCATGCCTCTTAACTCTCCACGAAGCTAAAGTCAGATTCTCATTTGCCAGCGTCTTATTCAGGTTTTCCCGTCCCACCTTAAATGGTGCAGCAGTTACATTCCGGCGCCTCAGGTTCTTGTTTGAATTTTTTTTTGTTCCATCTTAAATATTGCAGCAGTTACATCCCAGCACCTCCGCTTTACCACCATCTAAGGTGGAACTGGAAAATGTGAATAGGAAGCCGAGCTAACCTACACTCAGAGGTCTCTCCACCGCTGAAATGCTCTTGCCTGATCTAAGATCTTCTTGTTTTTCAGAAGTTCTCCTCTTTGCAGCTTCTTGATGATGTGTAGAGTTCTCCCTTACTCCCTGTCCTGTGCCTGAGCGCCCCCTGTTCTTGATTGGTTGGAATAGTGCTGTGTTGTTTGGTCTGAGACATTCTTTTATTTCCCATTTACAGAGGCAGGGCTGAGGACCCACACCGGATTATTTTTCAGCATGCACACAGAACGGACCGAATTGGATTGAAATCTTGTACTGCACCTTTAGTGAGCTAATATTTAGTAATAAACTCTTCTTTTTGGATGTGTGAGTTGGTGGAGGATTCTAGAATTTTCTGGCTCCACCTTAAATGATGCAGCAGTTACATTCTGGCACCTGAGCTTCTTGTTCGAAGTTTTCCGTTCCACCTTAAATGGTGTGGCAGTTACATTCTGGTACCTCAGCTTCTTGTTAGAATGTTTCTGTTCCACCTTAAATGGTGTGGCAGTTACATTCTGGTACCTTAGCTTCTTGTTCGAATTTTCCTGTTCCACCTTAAATGGTGCAGCAGTTACATTGTGGTGCCTCATCTTCTTGTTGGAATTTTCCTGGTCAGTTTAAAACAAAAACTGTTTTTTCCATTTAAAAAATGTCATTTTCATTGAAGTTCAGTCTAATATCTCTGTCTGATAGACGACCAATAAACTGATGTTTTAATTTGTAGTTATGTGTCTTCACTATTATTCTTATTATGATTATTTATATTATTATTAATATTCTATGCCACTTTCTGAGTTCTTGAAATAGCATAATTCTGGAAAGTATCTTGCATAAACTGCTGCTCTGTGATGATACTGAATGCAGTAAAGCAGCAATGTTGACTGCCCCAAATGACGTGCCTGGGTGAACTCAACGCAGCATCTAGGTATCTATATCCATGAATAAATCTGCCAGGAGCTGAGATAAAGATGTCAGTAAGCTAACTAACTGAGGTAAATCTGCCAGGAGCTGAGATAAAGATGTCAGTAAGCTAACTGAGGTAAATCTGCCAGTAGCTGAGATAAAGATGTCAGTGAGCTAACTAACTGAGGTAAATCTGTCAGTAGCTGAGATAAAGATGTCAGTGAGCTAACTAACTGAGGTAAATCTGTCTGTAGCTGACATAAAGATGTCAGTGAGCTAACTAACTGAGGTAAATCTTCCAGGAGCTGAGATAAAGATGTCATTAAGACAACTCACTGAGGTAAATCTGCCAGTAGCTGAGATAAAGATGTTATTAAGCTATAACTGAGGTAAATCTTCCAGGAGCTGAGATAAAGATGTCATTAAGACAACTCACTGAGGTAAATCTGCCAGTAGCTGAGATAAAGATGTTATTAAGCTATAACTGAGGTAAATCTGCCAGGAGCTGAGATAAAGATGTCATTAAGCTATAACTGAGGTAAATCTGCCAGTAAGCTAATGCCGGCCTTAGACCAAACGACTTTTCAAGCGATTTCACTGTCGCAGACAAATATCCATGTCGGAATAAAATCATGTCTTGTTAGAATCGCGTCGTGCTTGCG